ATAAATAATTATTCCATAAAAAATAAAATACAAACTATAGCTAAACTGCATGGTTAATAGTATATCCCAACATAAACTCTATTATATTGGCATGACTTTTGTATTATCTGCGATTGACATATCTGTTAAATTATTTATCAAAGTCTACTCGATTGACATACTTTTTTTATGTTCAACAAAGTTTTCTTTGAAATTGAAATTCCAATTTCAATTAAACCATCCCAAATTTGCTCCAAATAATATCAAATTTAAAACAAAACCTTTAACTACCAATATTCAAATAATTTTAATAATAATTAATCACTAATTTCCCGTTTCTACCTTCAAATAAGAATTTCAAGCTTCCAGTATTGAAAAACTACGGTGTTCTTGACGAAGAAGAAGCTTATTTTTATAACAAAGTCAAAAATAAAGATAATATTTGAAAACCAATTCCTTAGGAGGGCAATTTGTACAGACTTTTGGACTTTACTAGGATGCATAGGCAAAACTCTAGGCCCATTTAAATACTAGTATATGTATTGAAAGTTAGGTTGATTTTACTAAATTGTTACGAATTGGATGTACTAAGTGGGCATTTGGACATAAGAATTATAAAATTCCGAAAAAAGTAGAGAAAAAAAATTTAAGTAAAAATGATATTTGAAAATTAGAGTTGTGTTTGGACATGAATATAATTTTTGGCTGTTTTTGAATTTTTGTGAGTGATTTGAAGTGAAATGTTTTAAAAATAGTTTTTTGGAATTTTTCAAATTTTGAAAAAATTCTGCAATTCATCTTCAAATGAAAATTAAAAATTTCATGGCCAAACACTAATTTCGAATTAAAAGTAAATTCTTTTTTAAAAAAAAGTTAAAATAAATATGCCAAACGGCCCCTAAATAGAATTCACTTGATTCATCAATCAAACAAGTCACTCTAACTTCTTAAGATGATGACAGTCGCGCAGGATTTATAATTACATTATCACTGTCCTTTCACATGATGCAAGATTAAGAGCGTTTTTGGTCAAATTTCTAAAATTAGTTTATTTTAAAAAGTACTTTTCAAAATGTATTTTGGTGAGAAATAATTTATATCTTGCTAATTAATTTAAAAGTACTTTTGAGTAATAATTAGTGTTTGACCAAGCTCTTGAAAAATATTTTTAAGTGTATTTTTTTTTAAAATATTTTTTTTAAAAGTGCTTTTGGGGAGAAATTATTTTTTCTGCTTCTCAAAAATTGTTTCTACTTCTATTCAAAAGTACTTTTTTCCTTCTAAAAATTTAACCAAACACCTTAACTTTAGAAAAAAAAAAGGCATATTTAACTAAAAATAGCTTGGCCAAACATGCAACTGATAAGTTTGAAGAAGTAAATAATTTTGTTTTTTGTTCATCCACAAAACATAGGATAGATATTTAGTTAATAGTAAAGTCAGAACATAACATATTGAATTCATCTGATTTGTCTAATGAGGAGATAAAACAAGACGTAATTAAGCATTTTGTGCAGAGTTACAAAAGAACAAAAGATATTGATCTATATTGGAAGTTTGTACTTAATATCTAATTTTCATCTACAAAGATATTTGCATCTACAAATAGACCAGAGAAAACAAAGTGTAATTAAGGGTGTGTTTGGTATGAGGAAAATATTTTCCGGAAATTGTTTTCATGATGTAGAAAAAATATTTTCTTTCATGTATTTTTTTTTTATGTAGAAAAAATATTTTATTTTATTTTAACAAAATAAATATTTTTTTTCATAATGTAGAGAAAATATTTTCATTCATTCAACAAAATGAGTAATTTTCTTTCATGTTGTAGAATGAATACTTTTTTTTTCGACAAAATAAAGTATTTTCTTTTTAGTTATCGAACTCAAATTTCAACGTTGTTCATGTGTGAAAAAGTAAAGTAGCACATTAGTTCCTTTGAGTTTGTGTGAATTTTGAAAAGAATAAATTAAATTCTTGAAGAAAATAGAGTCCTGTGAGAGAGAGAAGGAGTACAAAAAAATATGGGGACTTTAGGAATGGTGGGTTGAGGAGAATAGCATAAAAATTATTCCTAAAAATATTTTATACTCTCTAACCAAACTCTAAAAAATATTTTCCGAAAAAAGTTTTTAACTCACCAACCAAACAAGGAAAAATAAGTGATAGAATCACTCATTTTCTAGGAAAATATTGTCCATGGAAAATATTTTTCTTGATACCAAACACACCCTAAGATAATTACATTTTCTGTCATTTTCTTACATATGAATTAAGAAAACGCGTAAAATGGGATAAGAATTGCCAAAAATAGGATATTATATGGCAGTTCACACTCTAGTAATAACTTTGATTGTTGGCACCTAAATATGTAATGTAATAATAATTGCCCTATGAGTATGTGATTAACCGTATTATCACCTTTAGGCAAAGATGAAAATGACGTTGAACTGAATGATGAGCCTTTTTTAATTCCTTGTGTATTTTAGCTATTTTAGTGCCAAGTTATTTTTATTGGTTATTTCACTTTAACTTCAAAAGTTTATCAAATTTATAGAAATGCTAGTTGACGTTTTATTAGACGAATAATGGAGTCAATCAATTTAACCTTTTTCTTATTTATAGCATAGTTGGCCAAGATTCTAAAAGCTGATTATTTTGAAAAGTGTTTTTAAAATATATTTTTAGTTAAAATTAATTTGCGTTTGGCTAATTAATTTAAAAGATACTTTTGAGTAGCAATTAGTATTTATTCAAACTTTTTAAAAGTGCTTCTAAGTGTATTTTTTCCAAAAATACTTATTAGAAAAGTATTTTTGGAAAGAAGCTATTTTTTTTTTGCTTCTCAAAAACGAATTTTGCTTCTATTCAAAATTATTCTTTTCTCTTCTAAAAGTTTAGTCAAACACCTTAACTTTGAAAAACAACACATTTGGCATAAAAAACGCTTTTGGACAAAAATGAGCTTGGCCGAACAGACTATTAATCATAACGACTCTCTTAGGGATCGTTTGGTATGGTGGATAAGCAAAAATAATCATGGAATAAAAATATAGTACCGCCTTATTCCTTATTAGGTTACTAATCATGGGACAACTTATCCTAGGATTAAAAATAGTACTAGGATAACTTATACCTATCAAAGGATAGAATAGTAATCCCAGGTTAAGTTATCCCAGGATAAAGCAGTAAAATTGATAATCTCAGGATTAATACAACATACCAAACAGTCAATAAAAAATAATACCAAGATAACTAATCTCAATATAATTAATTTCAGCATAACTAATCTCAACGTAACTTGTCTTCATACAAAACAACCCCTTAAAGATTTAAAACAATAAAAGGATTCTTCAAAAGTTTAACCAATAGTGTAATTCTGTGAAGTTAACTGGAAGCTTTATATAGTTTTAACAAATTACAAGGACTTTCTTAGTCATTAGTGAAACTTCATTTTCAAGATTATAAATTTGAGGAAATAGCCAGAAGCCAACAACACATCATTCACTTTACATCCTATGACCATTCTGAGACTCACTTAGTGCTAAAGAAACATCAATGGCAGAAGCTTTTGTTTCCTTTCTCATTGAGAGGGTTGAAGGAGTATTGAAATTAAACAAAGGGAAGCTCTTATGTGGTGCTAAAAAATGTGTGAAAGATCTTCAATCAGAGCTCATAAAAATGAGGCTATTTCTTAAAGATGCCGAAGAGAAACAAATGGAAAACAAAAAGATAAGTCAAATGGTTGATAATATTCGAAGGGTTGCCTTCAAGATTGATGATAAAGTTGAAGAATATGCATTTGAGGTTGCGAAAAGCCGGAAAATTTGGATCAAAGGAGTAATGGCATACTATAAACGTGTGTTTTATGGTAGGGAAAAGAAGTTTCAGTTGGAAATGGAAGAATTTAAAGGTAAGGTGAAAGGTTTCACAAGGAGTTTACAACTTCATGGTGTGAAGAAGATAATGCATGAAAAAGATTGCGGTAAAATCGTTGACTTAGGTAAATGGGAAGAAATTACTATGGTTAAGAAAATGGAGAGTAATTTTGAAGGTTATATTGGTATGGAGAGTATCTATGTGTTTGACAAGGATATGGTAATGCAGAAGGCAAAGGTGAAGGATCAACATTTTGAAAGAATTTAGAGTTTGCATGTTGCAGAATGTTATTATTTATTTAACCACTTGTTGCATAGTACGTAGTAATTTCTTGACTATATTTTGATGTTGCATTGTAAGACTATTTAGTTATTGACTGATGGTATTTAAACAGAAGATTTTCTTATTTGTGTAATTTACTATGGTAATTTTAATTGCATTAGAGAAAATTAGTGGTACTTGCAAAGCTACTGTGAACAAAATTAAGGATCAAACTTGAAAGGATGGAAGGATTGACAAGAAAGATCACAAAGCAAATAGAGTGTGATTTTGAGACATTAATCATAATATGCAAGAAGGGGAGCCTTAGAGCTAACACTAAAGTTGTCTCTGTTTGACCTATACGTCATGTGTTCAAGCTGTGAAAGCAGTCACTGATACTTGCATTAAGGTTTAGGGTAGACTGTCTACATTACATCTCGAGAACCTTGGAGCAACGGTAAAGTTATCTCCGTATGACCTATAGGTCACAGGTTCAAGCCGTGAAAGCAATCACAGAATCACTAATGCTGGCATTATTGTAGGTTGTTTGTACACCCCTTGGGAGGTGTGGTCCTTCACCGGACCCTGCGTAAACGCGAGATGCCTTGTGCATCGAACTGCCCTTTTTTTTTATTCCTAATAACTAGACTGACACTAGCAACTTGAAAATGGCATTTCAATTTTAATTTTCATGACTTTGCGAAAATGCAACTTATTGTTGCAGATGCAGAGGATTAAGACGTAATATACTGAATGCATGAAACAATCAACCAGAAAAAAACTTGCTTTTCCAGCATACTTATATGCAATTTTACCAAACGTAACATCAGCATTCTTTTTTTCATTGTTAACATCAGCAGTTCTTTTCAAAAAAAAAAAAAAAAAAAAAAAAAAAAAAAAAAAAAAACTAGTGCTTCTTGATTTCTTTTTCACCACTAATGCTTCTTGATTTACCTATATCTATGTGAGTTTTCGATGCGGTCAGAGAAGGAATCTTCATCAGGATCTACTTCCTAGCTCCTGCAAATAAAGATATATGATTAGATATAAAGATCAAATGAAGCTGTTCAGATCAGCAAGCTATTTGAAGCGAAACACATGCATTAATAGTTTCCATTACTACAGCTCCTAATAAACATTTTGATGCTCTAAAGGCATCATAGGTAGAACTGTAACAGAAGCAATATACTAGTTTAAAAAAAAATAAAGCAGTCCGGTGCACTAAGCTCCCGCTATGCGGTGGGTCTGGGAAAAGACCGGACCACAAGGGTCTATTGTACGCAACCTTACCCTTCATTTTTGCAAGAGGCTGTTTTCACGGCTCGAACCCGTGACCTCCTGGTCACATGGCAGCAACTTTACTAGTTACGCCAAGGCCCCCCTTCCAATGGCAGCAACTTTACTAGTTACGCCAAGGCCCCCCTTCCAATGGCAGCAACTTTACCAGTTACGCCAAGGCCCCCCTTCCAATATACTAGTTAAACAGTTTCATATATAAAGGGCGGGAAGAGATGCAAATATAAGAGGAGAAAAAGATAGAGAAGGAAGCAACTAAAATGGTATATATGAAGCCAATTGCATCTTCAATGAGAATATAGCCAGGGAACACCCAAGTATTATTGAGGTTTTCAATATATTTAAGTGAGTACTTGTGTGGGTGTATTTAATGCACTTCTGGCACGTAGTAATGGGTATCATAAAGCTCTAGAGAAGTACTGAGGTCAATATGCACATGAAAATAGGAGGCAGATTTCACTGCTGGGCTTGTATAAGAAAGAGGAGTAAAAAGATGAACTGACTCTTCAAGGACTTGATGTCTCGACAAAGTTCGCTTCCACAGCAACACTTGAACGCTTTCACTGGATGACTATGATCAGTGAAGTCAATACCATAATCCTGCAATGTTTCATATTTATAATGATTCTTCCCGAGTCCAAGTCAACAACTAGTTAAAAAGATAAATTACACTTATTTTTGACTTGTGTACATTAAAATGAGAAAGTTCTAAAGTCATAGTGTTCAAAATAGATGGTGGCATTACCCAAGTTAACTCTTCTAAAGCATTAACTTTCCTCGTAGTGAAAAAAGCAACCTGCAGTGACATGAAAAAAGATTTGATGTGGATTTTCCACGGATTTCTAAATAACAGAGGGATACTTCAAAAGGCTGCGAAAACAAAGATAACAAATACATGGTAGTAGTGATGATCCGGAGTCTCTACTTCAACTGGGATCTCCACCAAGTTAGCATCATAACATCTGACCAAGATAAAATTACAATGCGGTTTAGTTTCAGTCTACATTGGGAAGAGAAAAAGAAGCTACAAACTTTTCTTCAATGTAAACAAAAATTAAAAGCAAAGAATGAGCTATTGATTGCACAACCAAGAAGAATAATGGAAACTTCTAATGATGCTCCACTGGTGGTTCATTCCATGCCAAATTTACTTTATAGAGAAAGCCATACGAACAAAAAAACAATTGACTGATATACCTCTACATGCCAGATATAATATTGCATCTAGTGTTTACCTACTACTTTTCTTTTCAAATTTGTGGACCAAAGTAATAGAAACAAAGAACAGACCCCGCTGAAAGAGTGAGGGTGAAAATATTAATTCCAAGAATCTAAGAGACCAAGGGTACCATTTAAGTGCTGTGAGAGGAATTATTTTCAAAGTGAGACACAGAAGGAGACAGACTGCAAAGAGTAAAATACTTTATGAAGTTAAGCCACACATTCAGATGGAGAAAGTGGGGGCAAAGCAGTAAAGAGATGCAGGGAAGAATAGAGAAGTGATGCTGAAGAAGTAAATCTGATTACATTGTTATCTTTAATGCATGATACTGTACACATTCTCATGAGCAGGGGCGGATTTAGGGGGGCGGAAGGGGTTCACCCGAACCTCCTTCGCCGAAAAATTACACTGTATATATAAGGCAAAATCTGTTTTTTACCTCTATATATTAAGTTTTAAACCCCCTTGACACAACCCAAAAGTGTAGCTTAGTGGTCAAGGGGGTTCAAAATCTTTGAAAGGTCATAGGTTCTCAATTCCCACTAGCTACGATTGTTTTTTTCTTGAACCCCCTTCGCGGAGATCCTGCCTCCGCCACTACTCATGAGATACAGTACTTAAATCAAAAAGTCATAATCATAACTGTTTCTTAAATAGGTAACAGCTGGTGGACATGAATATTATCTACTTTGCTTTAAAAGTGTACAAACCACCTATCACCCGAAGGGCAACTACAAAGAGTGAAGGACGAGAACTGGAGACTAACCTATGATTAATGAACCTTGCAACATTGCCATAAGAAGTAGCATCCAAACAAAGTGCCTCTTCATCCTTCAGGACACCTTCCGAACCCCAGTCTGCATCTAGCAAAACTGGGTATGTGTGTCTCTCATCAGCGGTTTGCGTGTTTCGCTCATACAACTCCATGTTGGTCACTATTTCTCCTACATATTCACAGACAAAAGCACCTCTAGACAAATCCTCCAGTGTCCTGAGCCCCCACCCTTTTCCATGAGCTGTCATAAACACCTGATATGCAGGATAAGAATGTGTCAAGCAATTTCTTAATAGTCTAGGTTTCTATAAAAGTATACAACATGCACAAAACCATTTCTTTTTCTTTTTTGATAAATCAGACAAGTATGATTTATATCGCACCAAGATGGAAAAAAACAATATGTATAATATAGGTTTGTAGTTCAAACCACAATCATCTATCATGCTTTCCCAAACCAAGAATTTATATGACATAAAAGTCATTTCTAATACCCCTAACATCATTCTCACTATTAGTGAAACAATCTCCTCTTTCTTAGGTTCCAAATGAGCCAAAGTGGTCGAACCTGAAACCCTTGGTTTGCAATATTTTTCTAACCTGCAATGACACTGCTATTCCTCGCTGAACAACACGATTTCCACATCCCCTGCTGCAGCCACATTTATGCCAGCACTCTTTGATAAATTTCCTCACCAAATGACCCTTGCACACGCCAGACATGCTATTGTTCTTAGACCTTTCAAGGGGACAGTCTTGACAATATACTAAACCATGCTTTTGGGGTTCACGGTTCATTGAGATGCAATTCTCGAGAAACTTTTCCTTGAGCAAACCACCTGATGTGTAGGCAAATTCACCCCCTGTTTCACCAGCACAAGCACAAGGTATATCTAGAGACAAACAATCCTCGCTGCAGTGTGAACAACAGTTGTCATCTGATATACGAGCAAGAAGAAACTTCACATATGCATTTTGGAAAATAATGTTCTTAGGTATGTACTTAAAGACATGCAAGATCTCATGGCTGAATTCATTGATCAACGAAATTCTATGCTCCTCTTGACCATTGGTGATGTCTTCAAAATAATAAGCAGAACCAGGAAGACCAGGAGACGAGTCTTTTTTCTGAACAACCACCGAATTGTTCATCGTTGAAGGCGCAGGGAGTTTAAGAACCTTCTTGGTTTTATCCTTTTCAGCACCATAAATCTTAGTACCATTAAAATTCACCATATAGCACACTATATCCCTATTTCCTGAAGCTGGAAATTTTGGAATTTGAGGTGAGACTTTGATAAGATTCGACAATTTGAATGAGCCATTGCTAATGTCTGGAGCAAAGTGCAATTCATGATTAGCAGCATCATATCTCACACCAACTGGATGTTGTTTCTGAGACTCTATCCCAGCTAATGGCTCATTTGCTGCCTTAGCCTTGGTGCCAGCTGTCAGATAGCATTCACACAGATTTTCCATCAGCCTCAATAGAGAGAAACCAGGTTGAGAAATTCTATAAGACTTTATATACTTTCCCTCCATCCGCTTCAGGACTGCATCTAAACTTGGTGGACGAAAATCGGATGAGGAACATGGCTTATAGACAAAGAAGATCTTCACCTCCCCCTTCTGAGAGGAAGCAATATCTTGTTGTGATGAACTTGTCACGCCTTTTTCATTTCCTTCCGTATCCAAATGTTCAGAGTTGAGAAACTCCAAGTCTTGTCTTTCAAATGTTCTTGAGCCATCTTCAGATAATTGACAGGAAGGAGCTATTTGTCAAAATTCAAGTCCAAAGAATATGAGAGAATAAAGCTTCTACATTATAGATAACATTCACATTTTGGTAAGACTGGAATTTGACAACAAAACTAAGAGGAAGGGAATGCAAATAAAATGATTCCAATTTCAGAAGTACGATTTACCAATTGACATATTTTCCCATGTGGTTTTACCCAGAAAGACAATTCACGACCCCATCAGATGCAACAAATACCGATGTTCCTTATTCACATCCCTTTTTTCTTTTCATCAAACAATATCAAAAGTTGGACCTACTATGAGCAGAAACTAAAAGAGTTACTGAAAGCCATAAGAATCTCCACGTTGCTATCTTGTATAAAATCAATTTAAGATTAAGACCCCGAAAGCTAGGAGAAGAAATTCCGAATCAGCCTTAATCAACTTCAAAACAAACAGACAAGAGATAGCTTTCCAGCTCAATGAAGAGTAAAAGACGTAGCCTTTCCGATAACAAGTGTTTATAAAAATGTGATTTCACATATTCGTTTCGTTCAAAGACAATTACTAGAACAAGACCAAATTCATTGAACTTGCCCTCAGAAAATTGGTAGCTTTGGAACTTCATAAGAAGGAATGTACATCAGTGGAGAAAGTTGCAACATAGCAGTTTGACTATGCTGTCTTTCTTTGGCTTTCAGATTCCACATTAACTTCTAAAATAAAGTTGTTGACATTAGCAAGTTAACCCCTCTCTGTTTATTCCTTTTAGTCAATCATTTCATTATTCATATTCCGATTTAGTACGAAATCACCAAAACAAGCATACATGACGACAAGAGAAACTTCAAAAAGAAAAAGCCATCAAGAGAATATCAACTGAATGGATATCCAAACTCGAAATAAGGAACAATCCATTCAAAATTTCAAACCATGTGCGGGAAGAGAGACAGACGGATCTTATTATAGTAAACTCTAAATATCGAAGAAATACCTGAAGGAGCAACAGCAAGAGGAACATCAGAATCTGGCAGGTTATCAGAAAATGGCACTTTTAGAGGCATAGTATCACTAAGGTCGTACTCAACAAGAGCACCTTTGTTGGATGCATCAGAAGAACCTACAACATTTGGCTCTTCCCGGCAATCAAAACGCAGTCTTCTTTTAGGTACCAGAGCAGGATATGAAAGAGATGTATCACCCTTTTCCTTTATAGTTAAATGAGATGACGGATTACAAGGTCCTTCCATGTTATCACCAGAGAACACTACCATGTCATTAGGCAGCGTTGAAACAGGAGAAGATTCTGAAAAACTCTGTTTCTTACCTTTGCCCTGATAATCTTTCAAGAGAAAAGGCTTCAGTTCAACATCCTCAGTTTCATAAGATTCAGTGGTGAACCCAGCCATCTTCTGCTTGCTGGGAGATTGCAACTCTAAAGTACATGTGTCAGCACTAGGACTGGGATCATGTTTAGCAAGTGAGGAATGATTTAATTGAGAGCAGAACCTAGATTTTTTCAGTGGTGGTTCATTTTCTTCGGGCTCATCTTCCAACAAGGATTTCTGCCTTTCCTGATCATCAGTGAAACTATAATCAATTCACCACATGCATTGTCATCGGAAATTGAAAGGAAAGATGTGAAGATGAATGATCCGTGTTCATTGTGTGCATGATATCAAGATAGACACAAATATTACCATGCATAATCTATATAAAGGATTAACACATTGCAAAGGGTATCATGTGATGATAACGGAAATAAGCACTGAAGCATTAGTAATAATCGGGCATACCTTTGACTCCTCGCTGTCTATAATAGACTCCAAAAGAGCAGAATAATTCTCATCTTCAATAAGCTTCCAGTTTTTGTTGTACAGATTCAGAAGGTTCCTCAATACTGGCTTCACAATTTCTTCAGTATAGCCAAAGACCTGCATTGCCTCACAGGCCCTTTTCACTTTTGAATTCGACTTTGGCGCCATCTTATATTACCAATGCAGAACTTGAAGGAGCTCAATGAGGTTGAGGTACTGCAGTAGCTACTTCCTTTCAATGCAAAAATAGGGTTAAAACATTAATTTTTGATAAGGAAGAGCAAAAACACTACATCTGCATTATAACCACAAACAAGAAAACACAGAAACACCATCTGAATTTTACCAATATAATCACTGGAAGAACATTAAACTTAAGAATACTAACTTACTAGATGACATTCCAAGTTGAACGGTATCCAGTACAAATCTATGAGGACATTTTTTTAAGAAGCTCATAGGTGTAAAATATAGGTCTTATCAAATGCTGCTACATCAATTAAAAAAAAATACCGTATGACATTGTTAAGCATCAAGCCAATACTTCATCATGTCCAGAAATTCCTAATAGAGCTCAGTCTGAAACAGTAGAAAAGACTCGAATGCACAATAGTCACTTCATCAACCAAAATACAATTAATGCAGTGGGAGAATTATTTCCCACATTTCACCGAGTCATGTTTCATCACTGACATCTTCACTATTACTATTTCTTTGTTATCAGTAAACATGTTCTCTATAGCCAAAAGGAAATGACAGAGGAATGGGGATCATAAGTAGATCCTACTTGTCGAACTTTGTTCTATCAGACCTCTTCCTACCACTAACCAAAAAGAGCTTTTTAATCACAATATGACAATATTAATATTGCTGAGAACACCCATTTGTCACAAGAAAAGATGATGATGGGTGTTTTAGGACACAATATCGAGAGAAAGAAATTAAAAATCTACAAGGAATTGACCAAATTAGTCCCATGACAGTTGCATGGTTCCACAGAGCAATAGAACATTTAATTCAACAGAAACTAAGTCCCACTTCAGTTGTGTCACAAATACACTCGCCGAAATGTTATTCTTTAAACAAATACCACCTGCCCCTGCCCACACATGATTACTATGCTTTAAGTGAATTAAGACCCTCTTCAACCAGTAAAAACAAATTTGAGGTTCTCTTTAACTGCAACTTTGCTTCCAAAACTCCTTTTACTACTACCTCACATCCCAAAAGGCCAAAACGAACAGGGGATTTGGAGGGCAAAGGTCAACATATCTTATTTCTGTTAAAATTTGGACATTCATTTTTTTAACATATTTGGAAAGTACAATTAAGAAATACATAAATCACACATTGCAACAGCTAAAGAATGTTTTAAAATATTTTTTAAAAAAAAAGAATTGCTCACCAAATAGTAAGTGTTAAAAACATACAATTAAGCAAATAAAAATATACTCTCTCTAATGATTTAAGCTTTCATATAATTGATAACACATTTGCACCCAAGGGTGCCGCCTATTAATCAATGAAGTGGATTGAGAATCATGAGATCTCAGATTCAAAACTTAGCGGAGGTAAGAAACACTAGGTGATTTCTTCTCATTTGTCCAAGCCTTGGTGGAGAAAATTATCCGACACCTGTGCCGGTGGGAAATAGCAGGTATCTCGTAGAATTAGTTGAAGTGCGTAGCAACGAAAAAAATGATCACAAACTATAATATGGTATCAGAACCAGCAGAAGACTCCCACCCATTATCAAAAAGAATTCACATGTGCTTGACCGAGGCTCGCACTTAAAGGGTGTGTCAAAGACATAAATTAAGTAAATAACAATACCCTCTCTCTCTCTAACTGCTTAAATAAGACCTTCTTCCCAACATTCACCATTTGTCTAAGGGGTTGATAGACAGAGTTATCCCATACTCATGTTTGTGAGATATAGCAAATACCTCGTGGAATAGGTAAGGTGCAAGCAAACTAGCCGGAAACCACCAGAAGGAAAAAGAAAAAAAAAGAGATGGACAGAGAACGGCATTATCAGCATCTGATTGCACTCCCAGGCAAATTTATTAGCCTTAAACAAGCTCAGTAAGAATACCAAAAAATTATAAATAGAGGAAATTCTTCTGTTATTTTATGAATATTTGGCAAAAAACAAAAAACAAAAATAGAAATAAACCTTCAGTGCACGTATGAAACAAAACCACTGTGATTTCACCAAATCATAGAAGGAATCCCCCAATTTAACAGATGCAACATAAAATAAAAATTATCAAAAACAAATAACCAACGCCGTAGCATAGGAAAATTGGAATCAGGTGTTATAAGAATAAAAAATACAAATAACGTAATAACACACCAAAATGTGGAACAGAGCAGATTCCAAATGAGACAGCCAAAATTTCTTTTTCCCAAAACATAATAAAATAACACAGCATAAATGTTCTTACTTCTGGGCTTTTATAAGCTTTGAAACTACAAGAAAAAAAATACATTTAAAAAGGAAAACATTATATTTTTTCATGCATGAAACCATTTTAACTATCCAATATCAATGGGTTATATCCCAATATGAATCACTCAAGAGGATCATCCTTCTGAAACCCCAATGCAGCACTAACCCACTAGGGTTTTCGTTAAAATTCTGCGAAAAATCCAAAAAACAAAAAGAAAAAAATTGAAAAAATTGTTCATGTTACCTTAAACTTGATTTTCAAAAAAAAAAAAAAAAAAAAAAAAATTTT